ACTGTGGTAAACGCGCAGTGCAGCTAAAGTTCTCCTCTCTTTCATCTGGGGGAGAGGGAAGTGGTGGGGGCAAAAGCATCCTGTTCTTGAGAGAGGTTTGTAATATCAGCAAATTTGAATACCACAAATGAGAAGATTTATCAGAAAATGTATTTTTCAAAGTCTTTGAGTTTATTCTTTTTATCTTTCCTAGTAGGAATTCAATAAATTTTAGATCATGCTGTTGACTTTTAACACAGTGCAGTTTTGTAATTTGTTTACTGTTTCTAGTAGTATTTATTCAGTGTGTAGAGTTGTAGTTCATCTACACAAGGTTCTAATAAGCCTTCTGTAATGCACTCAGTGTGTTATGTTAGGTTCAGCCATAACTTCTGATCAGAGTCTCCATAGCCCTGAATTAGTGGGAACAGAGCTGTTAATGTTTCTCTTTCATAAATAGTTGTCAAAAACTATTTTGCTTAAATAACTAAACCTCTTTGGTAATTCTCAAGCCAAAGTTGTTACTCTTTGGGTGTTGTCGGGGGATTTTTTTTGCCTTGGATATAATAACAATCTGTGGAGTGTTTGAAATATTTAAAGCCCTATCTGGAATTTGAGGAAGATATTTGGAAGAGACTTCTAAGTAGTGTATTTTTGATTAGCCTGGAAGGATATTATGACTGCAATGACTTCCTGAAATTACATAGCTAGTAAATATTACCTGTGATAGCATGAAGCTTTATAGTAGTCAATTGGGAATGGGTGGGATCTGAAATCTTGCCATGTAAATACAGCTTGTGTAGTGAGGAACTCTTGAGTTAGCCATGACTGTTAAAGCAAGGATCTAGGTGGTTAACTTGCTAAGTTGTGGGCTTTTTCTCTCTTTTTGTATAACTGATTTTGTAAATTGCAGAAGAGACACTATATTCAATAACTGTATTCATTTACAGAAATTAACTGAAATACCAAAGCAATATCTTCAATTTAGAATATACAAAACAATTTTTGTTAATGTAGTTTTTAAGTTTCTCTGAAATATGCATTCAAAATCTCAGTTGGAATAGTTTTCATCCTTTTCTGTATGTGATCCTACATTTCAGTTTTATGTCATTTCATTGGTTGAATAAACTATACATTAACGTGCTGGTTTAATACCATGGATAGAAATGCTCTCGTGGGGGTGAGAGTGTGATAATGTGGCCTTCATTAAAAGGACAGTATTGACTGCAACGAATTTAAAGTTCACTCGCTGCAAGAAGTTAGTTGGCAATTCCCTTGTTTATTTTGTGTAATGGTATTTTGGCAGATGCTGCTTTCTTGAAGAAATATTCTAGATATCTCTTCTCTGAATAGTTAGTGGTTTAGCTTTTATGGAAGATTAATTAGATTCATATTGTTCTTGACATTAGTAAGAATAGAAATATGGCATTGAAAACTTGTGCTGTTGAGGATTAGCTGTCAGAAGATGACCTATTAATAGTATATTAGCAATTTGTGCTTCTTATTTTGTCCTTTATGATCTCCTTCTCTCATGCTGAAATGGATATTCAGTCTCTTCCATGTTGCTATTATAGGAACTTTGCACTCAGTGACAGAATAAAATAATTGTGGTGGTTTTTGTTTGTTATTTTAACTTAGATTTGGATATATCTGTGATCTTTGTGTTTGTGTGCTTCAACCTTGCTATTCAAACTTGGTTTAATTCTTAACACAACAGTTTTCACAGATGAGGAAAAGAGTTAAGTGAAAGATCTTCAATTCTTCATTAAATCTGGTTTGCTGTGTTCTTCAGAGATCTGAGTTTAGTTTCCTTATCTCTGAAACACTTGATAGATTTACCTAAATTAGTTTAAAGGATTCTTTGCTTTGCATTATTTAACTAGCAGAGCTTGTGTGCTTGAGAATAAGACTAGTGAATGTTCAAGGTGCATGGGAAACAGGTTATAATTCTGAAATTCATGTGTGAGAGAGCAGAGGGACAAAGAGCTTTGCCCTTGGAGCAAGATGCCAGTCCTTTTTGGCCTAGCACCCTCTAAAAGAAGATGCACACAAAAACAAAGCCAAGCACCCCAAACCACAAATTGAATAAAATCTTATCTCTGCTGAATAAATGTAAGTAAAATAAGTATTTTTGTCTATACTGCAATTCAGGAAGTGCTCGTGTCACATAGTAGTGCCAGTCTGTGTAAAAGTATGCATTGGCTTACTTGAAATGCTTATATTAAATTGCTTTATTAGACAACTGTCATCTGAAGATAACCCTTTTGAAGTAAATGACAATTGCCAGGCAGTTACTGGTTTTGGAGTCGTAGTTTAACCAGTCTGTGTCCAAGTACGCCATGTGTCTTTTGCTGCATGGTTACAAACTGAAAGAAGTGCAGAGGTGTCTAGGCTGCTTAAAAAAAAAACAGTAAGGAAAGTAACCATGTGTATTTACTAAGGTGATTACTCACATGGTAAGAGATATCTTTGTCTTTTACCAAAAGCTTGGCAAGTATGTATGGGAGTGAGTTAGCAGAGATTTGCTGTATGTTTGTGATTTCATGGTGAACTGGAAGAACATTCCACATACAGACCTGTACATCTGTGAGTCAGACTTGTGAATGCTGATGTATGAGAATAAAACAAATGTTGCAGAGTTTGATACATGCCAATATCAGGAATTCAAATTTACTTATTCTTCTGAAGCAAAACTGTTAAAACTTCAAGTGTCATGACAGAATCTTGTGATTGACTCTGAATGTATTCATGAAATGCAAAATGATGTTTCAAAATGAAGAGAAAACTCTTTTAACTGTTCACGAAACACAAGTACAGTAACTGAATATCCACTGTGTTGAATTATTGTGGGTTAAGAAGTTAACAGCTTTTTGAAAGCCTGATTTACTAGGAACCGGAAGTTTATGTAACCACTCTTACATTCTGCTAGTCAGGAATTGCCGATGTAAGTAACTCTTTGAAGCTGAAAACAACTCAGATTTGAGGTATTGTAAATTGTAAAGTTCCTGCAGGTTTTGGGAAGAGGACTCATTTGGTACTTGGACTGCTTCAGCTGTTCATGTAGTAACTACTATACCATCGCAAATTAATGCCTGGCATATTAAGGAAAACAAAAATTGCTGCTGAGTAATCTTAATATGCCTGACTATGAACTGATTCAGTCTCTACTGCTGCTTCTGCCTGTTTTGTTGAGCTGTCCAGGCTACAGTGAAAGGCTTCCAAGCAAGTCTGGGTGAATAGGTGTGAGCAGAAATAACTGCAGTTGTCACTGAGTCAGCTAATACTGCTGGTCATCTTGATTTTTGCAGTATTTTACCCATTTTTACCTATTGTGTTAGAAAAATAGAGTATTAAAGAGAAGGAAGGAATGTTTGTAGTTCAACTTACACATAGGGCCTGGACTAGTGTATTGTATTTCCAGTAGAAAGCAATGTAGTTTGAATAACTGAGAGTTTCAGTAACTTTTCTAACTTGTTTTTTGGTTTTGTCCAGGTAAATTTTTCTTTAGTTATATCTATCTAGAGGTCTGTTATTACATTAAGAAGGACAAGACATGGTCCTTCTCGTGGTCCTACCTAATCTTGGTATTAGGTATTACTCAGATTAAAAGGAAATCTTAAAGGAAATCTGTCATTGATATGATAGGCGTATTTTTATTAATTGCTGTGTGCCCTTAAGAACTTATTCAATAAACTGTATAAAGATTCTTCAGGGCTGATGTTGAAAACTCAGTAAACTTCAGTGGCTCTGTGTGTGCATATACATATATACTACTATTAAGAGCATCTGGATTTCAGGGGTGGACTAAACAAACTTTAGAATACTGTTCTGTGTGGATACACATACAGTGCATTGGGATAAAATGGTAAAGGTTTCATTTTATGCATCTGCTGCCTAGAAAGGTGATATCCTCAGGTTAATTTAGTATGCGGTATTGAGGTGCTTGAGTATTGTAAAACATTCACACACTATTTTAGTATCCACAACAGAATTAAAAATATCTATTTTTATAAAGATGGGTAGTAACTGTTTTCTTACCTCATTCCATTTTAGCAGTGACTTGGATTAGTGTTAAAGGTGCTGAGGAAATACTTTTGAAGTGGAGAAAGAACCAGTAAGAAATGAAAGATAATCTTCAAAGGATGTCACATTTATTCCCTTTTAAAAACACTTTTAATGAAAAATTACCTAAGTATTTTGGGGCTTTTTGAGAGATGAAGTCTTGGGGAATGGGGGGGTGTTGGGGCATAAAAGAAAAAACAGCGTGAAAAGAAGTGAAAGCCTCCTTAGCTATGTCAAATGCTCGTCTTGAAAATAATTTGAGAGGAAAAGATTATCTTGTACATTTCCAATTTAAACCCTCCACGGATTTTTGCAACACACTTTCAAGTAATTTCTAAAAAGATTGTTTAATTTATATTTGTCATGTCCTAAGAATTACAATGAAGATGTAATTCCCTGCCCTAAACTGTGTTTTGCAGGACAAATGGATGTCCCAAAGATAAAAATGATAATTTCTTACAGTGTCTTGTCTTTACTTTTTAAATAGGGGTGTGAGAACTGAGCTAAACCTCATGTTTCTATTTGTTTAGATTTCCCTTGTTGTTTCAGCTAGATAGAATAATTTTATAGGTATATTAAAACACTAAATTATTAAGTTAATTTAAATGTTATTGAAATAAACTAAATATATTTAATTATAATATTTTAATTTGTAATGCTGGACAGAATTATTGTTCAGCAGTTCTCATTGTGTCTGGAGGTAACTGTTTCAGTGGTGGGTGAAACAACTGGACTTAAGCTGCTCTCATTTCAAAGATTGCAATGTAAATATACTGCTTTACTTCGATTTCAAATTTTTGCACTTATCTGAAAAGAAGAAGTCTGTCAAATCTGAGTAGGTTTGATTATGCTTGCTTAAGTTCTTCTAAAAGTTTTCCCTGTCAAACTGACATTTTTAATATCATCTTTAAAAATCACAAAATAGAGGAAAAAATCTCTTACTGTCTCTTTCTTTTTAGAGAGGATCTGACGAACTTCTTTCAGACAGTGTACTCAATAGCCCGAACTCTAACATGAGCAGCATGGTAGTTACTGGTAAGTGATGCCCTTTCAAAGAAGAAATCTTTCATTAATACTTGGACTCATTTCCTGTTTACAAGGGGAGACGCTGAACCGACAATCCATTGTGCTACAGAGGGGTAAACTGTTGGCATGCATTAGACTGTAGTGACCTTGTATATACTCCTGAATCTTGGATGTCTGAGAGGAATAATCCAGTAAAGCAAAAGGCAGCTTTCAGATGTCTGTACGCTAAATTTTTGGTGGGTGACGGGGTCAAAAATACACTTGTCTTGTACAGCTGCCTTCAAAGTAAGGAATCACAACTGCCAAGAAAAGGTAAACAGCTTAACTCCTGTATGAATGACACCAGCTTTTTCACACGTAGACATCTGCAAGTCTGGGCATTGCAGGGAAGAACACTGTGCCAGTTTCATAATATAGTATGGATTCAGGGAAACAGAGTTTTGCTCTGTTCTGGTTTAGACTGCTAAAGCAGGAAACTTCACTTTGCTACTTCAGTCTGAGCAGCAGAATCTCAGAATGTCAGCACCAAGCGAGTGTGGTGTTCTTTAGTCAAATTTCTGGTGATGCTAGACAGGCTTTTTATGAATTGGCACACACTGAAATGCCTTCTATTGTAGGTAATGCTTCTGTATGTTGAATGTGCATTGAGGTCCCTTGGAGGCTCGACTTTAGAGGTCTTGCTTTTTCTCCTTTTTCTTTTCTTTCCCCATGTGTTTTTTTTCTTTCCTCAGAGGTATGGAGGAATTGGTTCATGGCATCAGTGTGTTGCAAGGGTTTCCAAATAGTTGCCCAGTTCACTGGTTTAATGTGCCTGATCAGTTTTTCCATACTTATGAGCTGAGCAGTATAGTTACTGATATTAGTAGCAGACTGTCCTTTTGTTTAGTAGTAAAAGATTGGGATTCACTGCTAAAAAATGTAGTTTTCCCTCAGAGCAGCTTACTGATCAGTCATGTGGGAGCACGATTGCTAGATCCAATTCAATGTTAGGTGGAGGAGTGTGGGTGCAGAAGAGAGGAGAGCCACTTCCCTTGGCAGTTCTACAACAAAAGCTGAGAAGATGATCCTTCTTTGGAATAGATCAAAAATGCAGTGTAGGGCATTCATAGCTGTTTTAGAGCCCCAGAACATTTGTTTATCTCCCCTGCTTTTCTTCCTTCTGCTTCTGAAAGAGGTCCCTCTCGTTTTCATTTGCTTGATGTTCTCTGCAGTCCTGGATATTAGTGCTTCGGCAGTTTGCTTTACTTAAAGGAGAAGCTAGAATGGAAGGGAGTTTTGGTTGTGTGTGAGGGTTTGAACGGGGGCAGTGAGAGGGAAAGCACCAGGACAAAGTCATGAATGTTACCAAAATTTCCATATATTTTCAGATAAATTTCTAGTTCAGGAAAACTAAATGCAACTTAAATTTACCAAAGGGGTAAAATTAAAAGCTCAAGGGGAAAAAAAAATTGAAATAAGAATTATTATCATTTGACTTTTCAGAAGAAGAAATACACAGGATTGTCTAAGAAGCCTCAAACTTTAAATAGCAATTCTTTTCTCCCTACGTTTTTTGTGGTATTCAGCTGCCTTTCACTTAGAATATTGTAGTACTTTAATGCCTTTATGAATACTCACTCTAATTCTCTTCCTTAGTCAGAGAAAGCCATGAAAGATGCATACTTTCTCTGCCCTATAGGGAGTCTTACATATGAATCCCTCCCTATTTTTTTGTGAAAGAAACTTGCAAAATTGTTGGACAGATGTTTGGTTTGCATTCTTACTGTTTATTTGAACCACTGGTAATGTGATAAACAACATGGAATTAAGGAAAATGCTAGCGTGTCGGACTGTTGTCCAAAGGATGTTGCTCAGAATACAAGGTCTGATCCTTGAGCATTTTCTAAACAGCATTGTCAGCAGTATTCATCTTCAAGACTGTACAGATGAAGGGAAATTGTCAGTATGTCATATTAACATTCACTACAAGTCAAGTTACTGTCTTAAGTACTTTGTATGTCTTGTAAAAGAACAGACACTAAAGAAGGTTAGACTCGTATAATTGACGATGACTTCTGTGCAAGTTCTTTTACCACTTAATTCTCATTGCTTGTATCTCCTGTCTTGGACATAACTTGATTGCTTTCCTTATTGTGGAATTTCATCTCAGTTAAGCATTTATATATATAAGATATATCTTGTATATACCCACAAAATTCCCCTTCGACCCCCAAATGAGTTTAGGAGCAGTATGGCACAACATCATTCTGTAAACATTGATGGAAGAATCCCATCTACTAGATCAGAATTTGTTGCACAGGAGGACAGCTTGTAGGGTTTCAGGTCAGCAAGTATCTATGCTTTTCTAAGAAATTATCTTTTTTTTTGATGTTAGATGTTTAGATGTTTAGATGTGAGGAGCTTTTTAGCACCAGCTGACACTGGTGTGTTGAAGTTGTGTTGTCAGAACCACAGACCTTCTGCTACTTGAACTATTACTAGTGTTTTGCTTCAGCTTTTCTGAAAATACTGTCCAAGTCTATTCTGATTTTCTATCATAATCTTGCTTGCTTCCTGTCTCTTTGGAGAGCAAAGATCTGCAAGTTCATTTTTTTTCCCTGCTGATGCACAGCAGACAGTAACTAGAAGGGCAGTTTAGGTAAACTAAAATATGGTTTAGTAACAGGGTTCTGAGGAAACCAGGGCTGAAGCCAGGATATTTTAAAAAATATCTTTTACTCTAGATGTTTTTAGAATCATTAGTTATTATGCACATTGCAAATTAATTGTACATAAATAATTTTTTTCACCTCTCAGTGCTGTATGTGCAGTAAATGTGTAATTGCAGTTGCTTATTATACGGCTTTTAAATCTGAGGGGAAAAAAAACCCAGTCCCTTCTCTTTAAGAACTAGAAAAGACATTTCCTCTGTGATGGGTAACTTTTATGCCAAACTTCTTGTGAGGCTTTCTTCTTTTCAGGTGGAGGACTGCTTAATGGAAGCTTTAGAAACAGTTTCATGTATGAAGATGCTCATGTCATGATCTCTGTTGCTGGAATCCACACAAAAATTTCCATTTTTAAAAATGTAGATAAAAAGTGAGATACATTGATGAACACTTTATGAGAATTGGCTTGTCAAAGACAAGGGATTGGAGCAGAATAACTGACAGCTTTTGTTACTATAGCTGCCATGTTTCATTGTTCACACTTGTGTGTTTAAGATCAGTCAGTAAAAACATTTCAAAAATCATTTTGCAACTGAGCTCACCAAACTCCTGGAGCTGTAAACGATACTATTAATCTTGATCTTGTTTTTACTTCATTAGAGGGGAATGTTAACAGTGACTTCGGTAGGTAATTTATTGTATTAACAGAATACTTAGCACTGAGGCATACAAGCTAATAATATTTCAAGTGCTTTGTTTAACTTGGGGAATAAACATAGATGTGCTGTTTTTGATGGCACATTAAGTAAAATTGGTTATTAGGTAACATTAATGATGCCTAAACATAGGTAATTTACTTCTGAAGTTTGCAAATTGATTACAATTAATAGTAATTGGAAAGATTTGAAGAAGTACAGCACCTGATTGGAAAGTATAATAATTTAATAATAGACTATAATTTACATTTTTCTACAGATACGCATGTGGATGAACTAAATTTTAATGTTCTGAATGCCTGAACAATGTATCTTTTTGTAAATTAAGAAACTTAAAAGAAAAAAAAAAGCCACCAAAAAACCAAGCCCCTCAAAAAGCCCCATTTTATTTCTCCCAACCTGAGGTTGTTATTAATTCAGTTTCTGTCTGCATCACTATGCTGTGGTAATTACTTTCTGTTCTACTTCAGTTGCATTTTACGCTAGCTGTAGTAATTTTATATATTTTAAGAGCCAAAGGAAAGTGCATTAGTTTTAGACTTCAACACTGAACAGAAACTATGCCATGTTGTGTGTTATCATAGTCTCTTAGAAAACTTGTGCAGTGAGTTTTAAACCAGAGGTGCACCCTGTGTGCAGATTTGCCAGTTAAAAGCTGTGTAGTTCAGTTTATAATCGCTTGACCATGTTTCCTTAAGCTCGAATTCCTGACAGGCAGTATTTTTTGTTGTATAGGATAGTTTTATTATGGATGGGTCAAGATTTTCCTTTGCCCATGGTCCATATCCATGATAAAAATCCCCCTGTCACTACTGGTTGATGCTGTAGTTCAAGTGGTAAGACTTCCACAATGTAGTAGTGGCCTAGCAATGCAAGGATAGTGGGGTATAAAGTTCTTTGAAGTATGAAGTTTTGCAGAACAAACTCCCTATCCCCATGCCACAAGGTGCAAAACAAAAATGAAAAGCTCCACCAAGCAAACAAGCATAATTAACGCTGAACATGTAACCTCTACTTTTAAAGTTAACAAATGCGAACTTCAGAGAACTTCACGTTCTTCATGGTTTGTATCTTATTTTTGAGTATTCTAGTTCCTTTTTTCTTTCAAACATTTAAAATTCCAGATTTTATCTTTCACTTGAACTGTAGAAGATGTCTGTATAAAAACAAAGGTCCTGTTTTTCTTATTTTGGGAACCTGTTGGCACTTGTGGAAGAGTTTGTCACTGGATCAGACAAAGTCTCCTCTTCCTACATTCGATCTGTGACATCAGGCCAGGTATATAGATACATATTTAAGGAAAGAACCTCAGAAATGAAGCCACAGTGGTTTCTGTTATACCCTCCCCATTTGTGGTTGTCTGCAGTTTCCTTAGCTGGTGGTTTTATGCAGATGATCGTGTTCAGTAGCCACTGCAGTATTTACTCTCTGGTTGTAATCCACAATTGTAAACTAGGTCTCTTCATTGTTCCATTGCCTTTCTCTTGGTCAGGTATTTCCTGTGTGGATCTGTGTCCTATGTTCTACTTGTTGATAACATTCCTGTATTTAGGTAATGTGAAACAAGAAGTACTTTCTACATTAGGAACAATAATGCTGCTTGTCTTTAATGTATCAACTGATTGTACTGGAGAATAAAACAAGTGTTTCAGGAAAGCCTAAGTTTTGGGTTTTTTGTAGTTGGTTGTTGGTGTATACTGACAGTTGTGAAACAGAGATTGACTCCTGCAGAAAGGATGTTAGTTTATCAATTATTTCACTACTGCAGATATGCAGGCTTTTATAATCAGCAGTTTGTGATGAATTTTTAACATTTTTTCCCCTTTTCCGAAATTAATAGGAGGAAGCAAGTTTTTACTACATGCAAAATCTTTGCTCATAGCCATAGTTACATTTCTATATTAGGAGATAGTGTGAATATAAAATTATTGTAAAGGAAAATCGCACATCTAAAATAATGGCTTCATATATTTTAAGAGTACCTGATGTGTTTTTGGCCTCAGAACACTTTAGGTCGTGCTTATGTATCTCACGAAAAATAAAACTGTGCTCAGAGAAAAATTCCTCTAAGATGAATCTTACTAAAATATGTTTTCTAAAATAGTCATCAGCAGGAAG